TATATATATATATATATATATATATATATATATATATATATATATTTATTTATTTATTTATTTCAGTTGCTCTGAAGATGTCTTGATTAAAGACGAAAGCTAAGGTACTCGTTGTTTCCATGTGTGTGTGTGTGTGTGTGTGTATATATATGTATATGTATGTATAAATAAATAAATAAATACAATAAATAAATAAAAAATAAAAATAATAAATAATAAAATAAATAAATATTGAAGTGATAACTGTGGTAACATTATGAGATGTACTTATTACTACCATGCTATTGTACTATTCCAGATGATACTAAATGTTACATAATACCTCCTTGAGATAAATGTATAGTATATATCAGGTGCCTCAAAGCTATTTTCTCCTATACAACGTTTCATACACACCAATGTTTCCAAATACAACAACTTACCAGCCGTCTCTACAGTTTATGATTTATCTCTGATCAAATGAAGCAACCTAACCTACCTAACTTAAACTACCTAATCTAATCTAACCTAATCGAACCTAATCTACTTTACGGTCCTTACCTAACCTAACCAATTTGACCTACCTAATCTAACCCAATTCACCTCACCTAACCTAACCAAACCAAGGATAGGTAAGGTTTGGGTGGTTCATCTTATACCGCCGTTAAATGAAGCAAGAGTGAAAATACTACATTTGTTCAGGACGAAAAAAAATGCAAAAATCTTATTACGTAAACTGAAAATCCTCGTCATTTCTTGCTTTAATGAGTTTTTTTTTTTACATATCTTCACGTAGAATTCTTTGTGTAAACTTACTGGTCAACTGTCTTCAAGTAATACCATATCTACTTGCTGACGTTACCAGCGTCTGTATGCCTGCAAAGTCTATGGAAAGTGTATACCTGAACTGTCTATAAACTGTTTACTTCGACTGCCTATGTGTAACTTAAATGTGAATTAGTATGAAGAATGTCACTGAATATCGATCTAACTATCTACCCGGGATCTTAACAAATTACACTAGGTGATGATAAAATAAATAAAACCATTACCTGCTCGTTAGGTCAAATTGACTGATAGCTCGTCCTCCTTCAGCCAAATGATAGCTGCAGCCGTCACAACACTCCCTGGCAGACTTTTCCAAGAGTTCAACAGTTTTTGGCCATTTTGGGGTTAGGTTGTCAATTGTTTAATCCATTTACGTTTTGTGTTAATATTTATGGCTTCAAAACATGCGAGTTTATGTCCTTCACAACACCTGTAAATGTTTATAACCTTCACAATACCTCTCCTGCTGATCTAGTTTTCTATTATTGTCTTAATGTCATATCCCTAGTGACACTCAAAATACAGAGAAAAGGAAGATAAATTGTGGACGTCAACCTCGCTGGTGGGGGAGAGGGAGGAAGGAGCAAGGAGATTGACCTACGCTCCCCTCCCCCCCTTCTCCAACAATTTCACTATTTACTTTTGCCCCTTTTACTTGTATCCTCAAATACATCGATATTTATTCAGTATATCTAATTTCAATTTTAACTTTATTCGTTATCAAGGTAGCGGGATCCTGGTATGTCAATAAGTATGCAGATTTAAGGCTAGCACCGGAAAACCAGCAGACAACAGCTCAGAAATATATTATAATACACCAGGCCTGGCAGGACAATAGGAAGCATTAGATGAGTGGCAAAATGAAAAAAGATTATCATCACTGAAGACCAGTGGCGGAATATGCAGGGAGGAGGCCAAAGATGAGTTACGAATGCCATAAAAAAGGAAAATCTACAGCACCAGGCGAAGATGCAGGATATAAGGAAATTTTGAACTGCTGAAGCTGGAAAAGGGAAAATACAGTCCATTATTAGATTTGTTCAATGAGCTATGCAGAGGGTAGATTTACCTGTCAGAATGGAAGAAAGCTGATAGCGCGGCCTTTCCCTAAGGCAACCTGTGGATATAGCTTGAAAAGCCTTAAATGATCTTGTTTTTCCAAGATATGAGAGAGTAATATTAAACAGGCTTGTATATATTGTGGGGGAAAAAATCTATCTGCACTTTATTTCGGGTTTGAAGGGAAATACTTCAGACTGTGTTATAAAAATGTCAAAATGATGCAGACAGATGTAGAAGCCAGGATTTCACAAGGATAGTTTGATAAAAGCCCACAGTGAAGTAGTAGTTATGAAATGAACTGGTCACCGTAGGGCATCAGGAAGTTGTTACCCGATAGGTGACTACTTGCATGGAAGGCGAGAATCTGTGTGGTATCAGGAGGTTTTGTCTGAGTAAGAGCACTTGAATCTAGCAACTCCTGGTGAGGCTGGTTCAAATTTATTTAATGCAATGAAATGCATAGCTCCTTCACAACATCCCAAAAGGAGTTGTAACCATCATTTATGCAGATGACATCTTATCAAGGAGACTGTAAATAATTTGTGAATGGTGGGCCAATACCAGGTGTTCTTTCCTCAAAAGATGGGCTTAATATCAATGAAGAAAATCAAGTGGAATGGAAGGAAGAGGAACTGAACTGTTTTCTAAATGGAAAATCAGGTATAGTGCGCCAAAGAAACATTTAGGAATGGCATTACATTTAGTGAAAGGAAGAGGCAGAAGGAGTATCAAGCGTCCTCACTCAATGGTATAAAGATTACAAGTCTTTAAAGGTGGCCTTGCCAGGGTAAGGCGTTGGGGCAACGGCTGAGAATGATGGGCTTCTACCATCAGATTACTATAGATTTGGCACCGCCCCTTTGTACCAGAAGGAAGGCTATGGAAGCTTGAGATCGCAAAACAAGCAAATGGAGAATAGCCTTAGGTACAAAGAATGCAATGATTGAGATAATGAAAATGAACTAGGTTACAGAGCATTTCACAGAGGGTCAAATTTTAAAATTAGGCTGTACAGTTGCAGCAGTTCGATTAATGAGAGGGAAACAGTGGGGGTAAATTTATACAAGATATAAAGCTTGATGGCTTAAAAGATAAAAGACCTTCTGTAGGTAAAGGTGTGAGGAGAAATGAATGGACTTAGTAAATATTATTAAAAATGTAATCTGGCAGAATTTGGTGTACAGCTGTCTAGAAGAGTTAAAGAATCCAATTCCCAAAGAACGAGAAGTAGAGTTAGGACAGAAAGCCCTAATGAAGAAATCATTATACATGAAACCAGGAGAAGTTAAGGGCTTTTATATGGGAACAGACAGTAATTGGTTTGGGAAATAAAACATGTATTGGCAGGCCAGACGTTACAGTTGTGTCAAGGGCAGGGGCAGGGTGGGATCCTTAGACAGGCACACAGAACAAGAAACATACATCAAAATTGGACTCAAGTTGATAGTTTATTTCATCAACATGTCAAAAGCGATATGCAATGTTAGGTAGGACTAAAATGTTGTAAAGAGGTATAAAAGTAGAGTATATTTTTTTTGTTGAGGGTAGGGCAGTTTTAATTTTGAACAGGAGTCTACCACATTATTGGTTCAAGCAGAAAATTAGTAAATACAATAAGGAAAAATGGCCATACACTAAAGGGGTCCCTTCACATGTGGGATATCTTAATGAAGAAGATATAATAATGGTAATATAAAAGAAGTCACGGAAAAAGGCTGAGATCGACATAATATGAATGCCAAACCATGAAGCTAAATTAAGGAGCAAATTACGGAAAATACAATCACTGAAGAAGATATAATTTCAAAAGGAATGAAATACAATGAGAAAAGTAAAGAATGAAATACCACTGGTAAGTTCTCATGGCAACACAAAATTTACATATGGGGAAAGATAGAGAAAGAAAGATTCAGTGTATAAGGAGGTTAAGAATAGGAAGGCAACATGGCTGGGAACTTGAGCTGAGAGAAGAACAGGATAAAGAATGTAGGAGTTTAGAGATTATCCAGATCCCATACCCCTGCCATATTATATATACTGGAATGCCATTGCTTAATGTATATGTAGAAATGCCCATATAAATAAATGTTCTGCCAAATAGAGTGATGTTTGGAAATGGGAAAATAGACAAATATTAGTAAATATGAAAATTCCTTGTAGAATGAAACAACATAAATCATGAGATGAGAACTAATTACATGAAATATTAGGGACTTTATGTGAGTCCTGAGAGGGAGTATTCCTGGATCAAAGTGGTAATGGACTTATGTCACTTCATCCCTTTGAGATGGATTAATGTTTTTTTGTATCTCAATAAACGCATCAATCAATCAATTTGATATCTATGGTAACTATCAATTAAGTTTGATAACTTACTACAATATATCACAAAAAATGCAAAAATAATAATATCTAAGTCCAGATTCACAATGCGGATCCCTTAAAATATTTGTGTATCCCAACAAAAGTCAAGAATATAGTTTGTACTTTGTGTTTTATTCAGACACGCGATCAGATGTGCCTTTGACAACTAAATTAACAGTATGTGATGTACATATACTGTATCATATCATAATTTACTGAATAGATTGTATGAAGGTGGTATTTTAAGTTATTCGGAGATTACGCAAGGTCATTAATTACATGCATTTATTAAAGATATTGGATACGAAACTAAATTTAAAACTTCATGTGGAATTATTTGAAAATATATATATGCTAAAAACTCATTGTTTTTGTTATAATTCAACATTTTTTTTCTCGAAGGCTGGAAATATATCCTGAACAAAGTGACACCAGACAGGAATACTAAATGCCTGCCAGAGTCTGCTTCAATGTTTTACAGTATACAAATGCTCATTCTTATTGGTGCTAAAATATAAAAATACCAATATAATTATAATTCATTTTACATTTTGATAACTTAATTTATAAGTTTTTAATTCATTGTGAGATAGTGATGTATTCCTGATCATGTTTATATATTATACAGTACTGTTACATGACATCTGCAGAATCAATACTCATTAATAATAAATATAACAATAATAGCAGTAATTATCTTAATATTATGTTTCTTATATGATAAAATTTTAACCATTTAGAGGGCAATGTAGGTTGGTGTTGGAGGATGGTTGTGGTAACGGGTGGCAACAGGTTCGCTGAGTAAGAATGACAGCGCAGGTGCCCCTCTCGTCTTGCCTTATCAGGAATCACTAGTATCAGGAAGCTTAACGATGAGTACAGCCACAATCATGTCGGTGTGCAACAACGATTGTTCTGACTGCTGTGATGGAACGTCTGACAAGGTATATGAGGCTGTTATTTGGCCAAGACCAGTTGTGTTTGGTTTGGGTTTCTGGACCCCGAACTTTCCAGGTTATTTAACTCTTACACCTGGATCTCCTGCACAGAATCTGATTAATATAGATTTGATTTTTCAGCAGCACCTGACAGTATTGACTCTTTACGTCTTACAGGTGTGATTTATAGCTCAATTTAAGCCGTCATCTGGTTGATATTTACTGATTGAGTGGTGTATTACTTCTGCCAGGGACCTTAAAATATTAGGAGGTGGATGTTTTGCCTTAAGTAACAGTATTAAATATTAATTTATATGCTGGCTGCCAAGAAAACACTCACTTTGATGTGACATCCGACCAGGGCCCAGGGGGTGAGGCCTGAGGGACATAAGCTCCCTTAGACGGTCCGACGGGTCCGACTAATTACCCAAATGTAGCCGGAATGAAGTCAAATGATGGTCGTACAAGCTTAATTCGGGCTATGAATCACTTCTCGATTATTATTTGGTGTCATTAAGTAAAAAAAAAATTGGTAAACTTAATTTAATCTGAGTTGTGTTAGGTTAGGTAGGTTAGGTTAGGTTAGGTTAGGTTAGGTTAGGTTAGGTTAGGTTAGGTTAGGTTAGGTTAGGTACGATTAGGTACATGCACTTGATCTATTAACTCAGATTAAATTAAGTTTACCAATTTTTTGTGACTTTGTGACACCAAATACTAGTCGAGGTTAGGTTAGGTTAGGTTCGGTACATGCACTCGATCTATTAACTCAGATTAAAGTAAGTTTTCCATTTTTTTGTGAATTTGTGACACCAAATACTAGTCGAGAAGTGATTGGTAACCCGATTTATTCATGTAGGACCATTATTTGACTTCATTGCGGCTACATTTGGGTAATTAGTCGGACCTCCCTTAGACACAGAAATATGCCCCTGTGGCCCCGAAATATGGGGCTATATACAGGTACTTGACAGTGCAGTTTTATTTAACAGTTCACATAATTTGAATGTGCAGGTATCATTAAGGATAGACAGTCTATCCTCCATCAAATATGCATTTACAGTACCATACAAGGAACTATGTGTGGCGGGGTAGATGGTTGAGGCCTGGCCACGGTATTTTTCAAGTATTTACCCAATAGGACCAGCACCTGCCTGAAGACAACATAGTCAACATGTGCCCTCAGTATTCGAGACTAAAGTTAGTTGATTTATGTCAAACTTGTGAGGCTACTCAACACGATGCATTAGAAGTATTTGATGAGCTTTATTTGCCTGTTGTCGAAGCTATATTACTGATGGCGGAGAATCATGGAACTTGGAGTCAATTTATAAAGGAAAATATCTGTTTCTTGTTATTTCACACTTGAATTTCTCATTCCATTTACTGGTGTCACAATTTACTTTATTATGTAGAACCTCTCGGGGCAAACCATCAGGCACTCGCTATTGATATAAGCACAGGTATGTCGGAGAAAAACAATCTTATTTGTGATATTAAAGTGTGTCGGTGATATTGATAAAGATGGTGACACTTAGTACACTGAAGCTGTTGCCTTAGCTGACTCAATTGATGCTCCTAAACCTTCATTACCTGGTATAAATATGTCACGTTAATAGATCTATCGGTAAAGGGGGAGCAGAAGAGTAACACCAGGAGTAGTTGTTCGATTTTGTTAATTTTTCCCACTCATGTTCTTTGGGTGATAATAAGTAATAACATTTATTCAATAGTGCACAGAACCTTATAGAACCTAACCTAACCAAAGAAACCTATCTAACGTTACCTAACCTCCTAGCTTGACCCCATGCCATATTAAACAAAAAGAATTTAGTTTGATATCTGGTGCCAATGAAAGCAACTTTCTTGAAGGAGCGTGGTATTAGTTTACGTTTTTTGTGGCTGTGAGAATATGCTCCTACCGGGCAGCTCAGTTGTTGCACTGAAACAGAGCGGATGACAACATGCATCAATACTGCCGATTTTTCAGCTGAATGTTTATGGTAAATAATTAATTTCTAAACGTACAAAGCACATAGAGACATTATTTCGTGTCACATGATCAGTTTTAACCGTCTTTGACCCCACAATTTCTCTCATTTTTCACACCTTGTCCACTACAGGTGATTTATGATTGTATATAGTAAAACTAAAAATGTAAAATAAATAAATACTTATAATTACCCGGTAAAATAATAAGTTATCGTATCATTTTTATTACTTACTATCATCCAAAGAGCTTCTGTGGAAAAAATGAACGAAATTGAACAACTTCTGGTGTTGGCTGTCTGCTCTACTATTACCCTTTTCTATTTCTCTGGGTTTTTTTTTATAGGACTAGAAATGATTTATTTTGTGTTTATGCATAGAATGAAAAGTGAATAGAACAATAAGGAAAAAATTGACTTTTGAAAATACAGTATTGTTTGGCAGTAAAAAATCTCCCCCCCCTCCCCGCCCAAATAAAAAATAAATAAATAAATAAATACTATACAATATTAATTGGTAACCCTCTCCCTAACTTTTATGAGAAATATATCTTCTTGCCCCAAAGTCAATAAATGTACTCATACTTTTAGGTAAATTCAGATGTATACATGTTACAGGAACAGTACTGTACAGCTGTAATATACTGTATGGCCACATATTTTTAACTGCATTATGTAATTATATATTTCAGAGTGAAAATTGTAGAAAAATAACAACTACAGTGTTAGAACCATGTGTGCCACTACCTCTGTCTGATGAAGTTCTAGATGATATCCTCCCCAAGGCTAAAGACTATGCCCTCTTACATGGTAGGTTCTCTTTTTTTTCTCTCATTTACCTTTTAAATCCAGTGTAATATGTCATTTCCTGTAGTCGACCCAAATTGAGGATGTGGGGAAGTGTGTGTACGGCATATGGTATTACTGTTTCATTCCATCGCCTGTCAATTTTTATTCTCCCTCGCCTTGACTCATCCCACACAAAAGTATAAGAAGAACAAGAGTACCGGTATTCATAATAGAAAAGAAGAGAATTAATCACTGGATAATGAAGGTCATAACAAAGTAACAAAGAACAGACCAACAACTTGAACGGCAGGAAAGGTGATATGTGGTGAAGTTATATAAAGAAAAATCAACGTGGCAAATCTGTTGGAAAAATTTTCTTTTGTACATTGTGTGTGGTTGGTAATTGTTCATTTTGGAGCCATTCCTTGTTTACTTACATAACAAGTCATACAATGTCCTGTAATCCTTGTACTGTACTGAGTTTTGAATTTTGTCATTAAATTTTTTTACATAAATTTTTTTTTTTTTTATGAATTCAGCTTGTTATTGGACCCAGTTTCACTTTAAGGTTTTAAATGAAGGAAAGGCAGATAATGAACATGAATGATATTTAAACTCGGATATTCCTATACAGGTGCTGGGATGCGCTACAAAGCCAGCTATGATCAGGACACACTACAGATGGCTCCATTCTTCCTCCTCCCCTCTGCTTTCCCTCGACGGGAGTTTGAACGTGTGGTTAAGTTGCAGCCCCTCATCAACGTGCTCATGCACAAGATTGCTCACAATCATGAGTTTTTAGAAAATTGTCTTAAAAAGTTAGTACTGTGTTTGGTATAAATAATACTTTGCTTATACGTATGTTAACCAAAATTTACATACCTTTCCAGTATCTGTATCTAGAAGAGATTTTTTATAACATTATTTTCCCAAATTACTTGACCTTTATTATACTTTATTAACTTTTCATCCACTTGTGTCTTCTCTAACAGAACGGTCAAGGTGGATGATTTCACAGGACGACTATGGAAGATCTACACCACCGTCAGAGAAGAGGGAATGGCTCAGGTAGGACTGTGTTGTGTGTCAGGTGTCTAACAAGATTTGAACAAACCCTTGTGATTTCATATCCTGCTCTTTAGTTTTGCCATGTTTATTTTATTAGGTAAATTATTTGTGCATTTATTCTACTTTTATTTTTTTAAAGAAAATGTTTTGGGTTTTTTGTATTCAGTTGCATTTTTTTCTCCGGTGTGTGAATGACTGTACAGTATTTAGTTACCAGTTTTACATATAACACAGGAACTCTCTTTCCTAGCACTGTGGCCTGAGTTAAAAGAATCCTAAATGATCAAAACTGAAATGCATTAATCAAGACATATTATGGAAAATGTTGGAATAGTATTACGGTTTTCTGGGATTTAAGTGCAGTATTTATTTTCTTCATACCCAGTAACTATACATAATACAGTAATGTGAATTGAAGTTTAATGTCCATAAACTGTATTATACAGTAATGGTGGATAGTATGATGAAGATTTACATGAATGTTTTGAAAGTGGGTTCCATTGGCACAATTACCATACCCGTTACAATCAGTGTTAATACAGTACACAATATATGGAGCCTTTTTCCACAGGGAGGCTGTGTGGCCAGCATTGCATTTGACTATCCTCATTTCCCCAATTCTAAAGTTAGGTACTGGTACCCATTTACTGCTGGGTGAATAGGAGTGCCTGGAGATCAAACCAGCAACCCATAGGACAAGAGACGAGTGCTGTATTCACTCGGCCGCATTACTCAATATACAGTAAATGTTGTACCATATGTTAATAGAAAAAAAGTATGAGCTATTAAAGATTTTGTATACTGTACAGAAATTTCAGAAATGAAGGTATTTCTATCATGTTTGATCCCAACGTTACAAGATAAGAGAGGATCAATCTGTCGATGTTTTCAGTACAGCTCTTAGATCTCTGTGGGTAGAATGTACTGTACACCTCTATAAGTTGACTAGATTGGGTTGAACAGATTTAGCAAAGGTTTTTATGTTAGATATGCAATATAAACAAAGTGAGTACTGTATAGTTAATAATACAATATAGTAATGGTTTAGTATTGACAAATTTTCTTGCTTCTTAATATTTTTGTTTTTGCCAAATTTGAGATTGATCGTTTGGCATGTTAACAGCTTTACTCTGTGTTAATGCTGTGATATGAACAGCAAGGGATTGAATACATAAACATAGATAAGAAAACTAGCCTATTGGTAATGTTATCTGTAGAGTTATTACAGTTGTTTGTATGTATACGTCTATACAGTATATTTTTCTTAATCACAAGATTTATATACGTACTAGGAAATAGGATTTTTGTTGGATTTAAACTTTCAAAATTTTTTATATTTATCTATAGAAAGAATGATATTCAGTTTTAATGTGCATTAATCCTTGTACTACAGACTGCAGTACTTACTCTCCTCTTATATTAGGCAGTGTGTGTTTACTTTAAAGCTGATACACCTTATTTTACCTTATACAGTACAGAACATTACTGTGCATATTACAGTTTGTTAAACAGGGCTTTGTTTTATCATTCCTATATATGGAATATAAAACAGAATACTGTACTGTACAGTATTAAGTTTCAGCATATAAAAAAGCGTACTGTATGCAGTAGTCTTAAATTTACATAAGGGTTTAATTAATACCTTTAAGTAATTAGACAGCTCTTAGGAAACATCATTTTAAGTTTAAGGATATTTAATTAATCTACAAATTTAGTAAAACCTCATTAATTCAAATTTTGGATAATTTGAAAAAGTTGATGAGCTTTGAAGATAGAAGCAACCTGCTGATAAGTAGACCTTTGTTCCATTAGGCCAAACACTGTGAAATCTTTTGTGTGATAACCATACTGTATGTGCCTCATCCACCCATACATTAAGGAGACAAGAAGGTGGATATGTAGTTCCAGCCAGCCCAGCCTCCACGTAAAGTAGTGATACATCTGAGATCTTAATCTTATTTTCAGCATTTAACATCTTGTACTGATAGCTTGACTGTGCAGTAATTCTCATACCTTTCTAGAAGATCCACCACAAAAATTTGTTCAGGATATGTTAAAATAATTATGTAGAAAATGGGGCTACACCACAAGAACATTCACAAACACTTAAAAACATTGCAAAAGACATTATAAAACTAGAGATACAGTGCATGAGGAACATCCATGAATGAATTGAAAAATCTTTACATTGTTATAGATCCTCCAACATTAACTGCTAGATTTATGAAGCCACCCCAAGGCCAGGTGCTATAAAGGACCTGAGAGAATTAGTGTTATCAGTGGCTGTTGGTAACTCGCAATCACATGATGATACATTGCAGTACTGACTCTGCCCTTAACTATTCTCCATTCATATGAGCTTTACAACCAGGGTTAATCTAGAGGTCTTCATTATTTTATTTACTTTATTTGTGTTCTGCAGTTGTTAGTAATATTAGCAATTTAGTGTTGATCCAGCATGATATCCAAAGCTGGGACAGTAAAAATTTGTTTTTGAGACCAATGATAACATATGTCTTAAAGTTAAAAACCACTCAGCAGCGTTTGCTATTATTTTACTACCCCACACATATTCACCGAAGCATAGTTCAACCAATCACACGCTTTGTTTGATTTGGCTCAGCTGCAAGGTCAGAGTGAACAAAATATAGGGTTGCCTCCATTTAAAACAGGTACAGTACAGTGGCTGGCATGTTTTGTGAGATGTGTTACCACTGTTTGTTTACAATGTAGTAAAACTAGCAGAATGGGCAGAACTATAGTAACCAGACCAAGGATGCTAAATAAGCAGTCCCCCTGTATCTGTGAATGCATGCATTTCCTGCATGATTGTTGTTTTAATATAAATTACCAAGTAGAACGTCATTGGCTCCTATCTGTTGTCAAGTGGGAGATGGTGACACATTTCACAAAACATGCCAGCCACTGTACTCGTTATAGATGGAGGCAACTGTACCTCAACAAAATATTATGAATGATATACACACAGCTAGTTAAAATCAGCCATTCACAAACTTGTACAGTACAGTATAGGTAATACAGTACCTGAGAGAGCACCATTACTTGATTGGAACATGTTTAGTTTCATGACTCGCATCATTACTTTAGCCCTGTCAGTAGGATGTTACCTTACACCAGGAGCTGTCTATACTCCTGTGTATATATATATATATATATATATATATATATATATATATATATATATATATATATATATATATATATATATATATATATATATATATATATATATATATATATATATATATATATATACTTTTTTTCTCTTTGTGGCACAGACAACACTACACAAGTTTACTCTGTTTAGTAATATTTGTTCTTAAACATTATACTGTATAGAAAATACATGGTATTATATATTATTCATCTTTCTTGCCCACCACCCCTCACTGCCAACCTCTGACTCTTCCTACCACCTTTCACTGTCAGCCTCCTGCCCTACCCTGATCCACCACCAGTAACTGCCCTACTGATCACTGCCCTACACTACTCTCCTTTTCCAGTGTTCCTAACACCAGTTTTGTTGTGTGGATACACTGGATGCAATGAGTAAATTTTACCCTAATTCAAGTCAACAGCTCATTCAACCTACCCTTACTTTTATGTAGTTTGAATTAGTGAGGTTTTATTGTTTGTGGGAAATGTGAATAACAGATGTTGTTTTTTCTTTTCTGTTTTCTATTTGTAGAATATCAAAATGACATTATCTCTCTTATTACCAGCCTTATGAGGGACAGCCGTATGCCCTGGGGCACCTTTACTTGACTTTTTTCCTTGTCAGCACTTTTTTCTCCAATGGGGATTGCTCTGTTTCCTCCAGAGCATTCCTTTCTTAATGCCTTTGCACTTAGGAGTTGAGTTTGGGCCTGGTGCGGTCGGACGTAATGCTGACCAAGTGCCATGCTGGGTGCTGCAAGCTATGCGAGACCCCTCCTTATGTCTCCTGTCACCAGGTGGAGGTCAACACCATCGCCTCAGGATTTGGCCACATGGGACCAATATCTGGGAGTATTAATAGGTACACAAAGGACATCACAAATGAATAATGCCATGGGCTGCACTAGAGAGGACTTTTGTGCACTGTATATTCATAAGCTGCTTGCAAATTTATTATTGGGAAGGAGATTGAACAGCCAAAATTTTGGACTAATAAGATTTGATTATAACAAAACTCCTCTGTAACCTATGAGCTTGATGGATAGTTACCAAGTAGTATTGTAATATTAGTTGCCACTTTCCCTTTTGATTTGCTTTACAAAAGTAATTAGCTGTCGAACATGATTACATTTAAGCCTGATACAGTGGGGGAATGTTTATAACATTACTGTACAGTATGCCCGGATAATTCGCGGATATTTATTTTGCGGTCTTCTATGATTCGCAGATGACACCCTGGTTATACCCATGAATGTCTGTGTGGTAGTTTTAAAGTTGCTGGCATTTTCGCGGTCGGGACAGGGAGCCATTTGTTCTAGAGACAGTAATTTCCTTTACCTTAATTGTATATATATGTGTGTGTGTGTGTATATCTACACACACACACATACTGTATAAACAATACAATACATATATACAATCAGAAACAAATTTATTAAAAATGTGGGTCTATCTCAAGTCTACTCTGTGCTTTGTTATTAATAAACACGGAATAGACTTGAGAGTAGACTCATTTTTAATAAATTTGCTTCTGATTATTTGTGAAAGGATGTTCCCATTAATATTTATTTGTACTGTATGTGTTTTGTGTGTGTTTACACACACACACACACACACATACACATACATACAATACAGGTAAAAGAAATAATTGTCCTCAGGGTAAACACATAAAGGGAATATACAAGTAAAATTGTAACCCCCCCCACCCCTGATCAGCAAATGTTATTTGAGGATTTGGCGATTCATGGCCACTTTCAGAACCTAATCCCCACGAATTTGAAGGACATGTTGGTACTAACAAGTGGGTTTAGAGCTGGTATTGTGGGTTATGGGTCAGTTTGAATTACTGTAATGTATTATCAGTTTTAATTTTGCACTTTATACTGATTATATATATATATATTTATAAAAATACAGTACCCTGTACTGTATATATATTTGTGTGTTTGTATGCAAAGAGTGTTATGTGGTGGAAATATTGTTTCCTCATATCATTGTCTATATTTTGGTTATTGGTTGATTACCTTCTTGTGTCTTTGTCAGTCATCCTTAATTCTGGGAACAGTACAATTAAAGGTATATTGTGTACAAGATAGTCATTTCCTTAATGATGTCTGAGATTTATTTTTTCACATAAAGCTTTAATGATCTAGCATCTCTTTGTCTTTCTGAAAACACATGGAGGGTCTTGTAAGCACAAAAGGTCTTGTGCTTTGAGTTCAGTTGTAATAAAACTTGGTAGAAATGGTTTTGAACAAGATCTTGGTTAGAGTGGTACTGTATTGAGTAGTTTCATACCTTTAGTTAGCTCTCTTGAGTGACCAGAAAATTTAACATGTCAGTCCTCTGTGTACAGTATTGGAATGTTGAATGAAAAAGGTGCAGTGCTTTAATATTTCAGCACATAATCTTGGCATGGGTGAATTCATGACTTTCTTGTATGTGAATGTATACCAACTTGTGGAATTGCATGGTGAATTTTATTGAAGGTTCATTTAAAGTATTTGACATCAGAATGGTGAAATGTTGATGAAATATTGAGCATGTGTCCTCCAAGAGTCCCATGAAGAACATTGGTTGGTGTTTAGATATTTGGAGCTTTTGTTGAAAATTTGGTCAGGAGATGAATTGGCTTTAGGAGCAAAAATTAACTGTCAGTGATATTTATATTATGACTAATCACAAGTAATGAAGGCATTACAGTAGTTGTAGTATCTCACTTTATCCTAAAATGGGTTTGAGGAAAACATGAGAATCTTTTGGATTATTTTCTCCATGACCTGTTTGGTGTTTGAACACAGTAAATCTTTGTGTGGTGGCGGTGGTTCAAGGACACTGCCCTCTGTCCCCTAATACAGTACTGGCTCAGGTGAATTTGATAAAATGCTTGACAGGAGGATATTTAGCCATGAGATTGAGGGCATTCAAGAATGTGTTGCGTGTAAGACCACTCCATTTATGCAGGGTTTAGCTTACTTTCATGGGCAATCAGGCTTAGATTGTAATTCTTTTCATCTGAATGTTTATGTACCTTGACACAGTATTGGTAACTGTCCACCAAGAACATTTATATGTCCTCATGTTTGCTCCTGTCATGAAACAAGAACCTAAGTTGCAAGATTTTCTCTTATTAGTTTTTTAGTTTTCCTAATTGTATAATGTCTAGTTCTCCAAACGTGCATCGTGACTCATTGTTCCGTAAAAATTTCCTCACAGGTGTCCTTATTTTGTGTAATGCCAATCATGCTTTTTATTAGTAATTTATGAAACAATTGGCTGTATCTTTCTTTTTATCATTCTTTCATTAGAAGTAATACCAGTATGAATGAACTGTTTATGAAAATATTGCAGAATGCACTGGGTCTTCTTCAAGACAGAGAGTATAATGGAGGTACTGTATAGCCTGCAGAAACGAGCTGTGCTTTTGCTTCTTGAATCTCTTAAGTTAGTGTTTATTAAAAACACTGTATTGTAGTTTTCTTATTTGTAAATGGGGTAAGAAGAGATTTAAGTTATAATCACAGAAGATAAAATTGAAGATACAAGTATTGTAGAGGTATAGCTTGAGAGACCTTTGTGTTTGAAGCTGAATGGTTATAATTTTTGGAGCCTTACATAGGCAAAAAAAGCAGGCCTGGCAAGTCAGTGAAAATGTCAAGATGACCAAAACAATAGGACAACAACACAATGACTTGAAATTTTTTTCTTTTGTGAGAGGCAACGAGTTCAATCAAAGTACTGTGACAGCCATGGCTGCCATAAAATTCCAAGCCAGAAAGAGTCCAGGTTTGGAGAATGCATCACACGACTACAAGAGTCGTACGGTGAAGCGGACTTTTGTTACCAAAAATAGATGTCATGGATGGTAGTTCGGTTAATAGATTACAACAGTAAAATTAGATGTTAGCTTTAACCCTGGATACTTTATATGGTACTGTGGTGTTAGTTGACTGGTAGCTAGGTAGCCTCTCATGGTCCCACTTAGCACACTATACTGTGATGCACCTGTTTAGAGGAGCTGTAGAGTGGCAATTTTCTTGTGTATCTGTTACTTAGTACTTTGTGTACTTCACCATAGTTTTGTGATACATCATTACTATATTAAACAACTGTAGACATTACCTGGTGTGAACATACAAGGTAAGCTGTGTGCATTTTGCAATGGGTTCTCAACTCCAGGAGTTACTGTACTTGTAAATTCAGAAGCACTAAATGAAAAAGAATTCCTAACCTCAAGACCATATGAGCACACATGTCTTGGTTTATTACCCTCACTGTGGCCGTTTGTTGGCGAGGGAGGCTGCTTGCATGTTTCACAGTGAGCTCAGCATTTGTTTCAAGTTTCATGCACTCTACTGGATTATCATAATTAATAATACTTGCCTAAAAACTTATAAATGAGTTGGGTAGAATTATCTATGGCCCTTTACCAAGAATTTTCAAATTAAATATGTAGATAGTGTATAGGTGTTCAGGCATTTTATATGACATTACATATTTACTGTATTTGGTTATTCATGCCAAAAAGTATCATATTATGGAAATACATATCATTATTTTATCTTATTCTGCACATTTACTTCCTGCAGACAGGGATTTGATGCTGAAAATGTGCTTTAAAATGCTTTTTATAATTCATGCCAAGAAATATTGTTTTGCTTTTAGAGGAAACTAATACTGTATTACACTACAGTATAATGATTTTTCTGTGTTGATAAATTTGGGCCAGGATCTTATACAACTGAAATAAGGATGGTTAGGTAGGAAGTCTTGAAGTCCTGCTTGGGCTAAATTAAAGTGATTAACTTTCTTTGTGTTGATTATGCATATCAGGAATTAATCTAATCAGTGGTTTTGAGTTTCAGCAGTGTAGAGAAAGAAGAGGCTAGTACAGTAATCCTTACCAGTAGGTAGTGAAGGAGTAATTACATTTCCCATTCACACATACAACCATCACAACAGCTAGATTAACATCTGTTTTTCCACTGTTATTTGGAGCAGATTGAAGTTTACAGTGCTTGTGCTGATCTGTGAAAAGTGTGCTGTGTTCATTGCCAGGTTGTAAAAGAATGGTAGTGTCTTAGTCTCAGGGAAGTTTTTGTCATTATTATTGTGTCCCTTGCTGGAGGAAACACGCCCACCCCATTGCCTTCAGATGTTCCTCTCCAGTCACATTTTCCTCACCACCAGTGTTTTCCTCATCCCACTTAATATGCAACAAAATCTTGTGTATTTTGCCTTATCATTCTCAATCTTGTATGTTACATCCTGCCACACAGTTTTGGCCATTTTGTTTTGTTTACTTACTTGATTATTATATAAATGAATGTCATTGTGTTAAGGCCATTTGCTCATTTAGAAGTGCATAGATAGAGATGACTTCCATTGTTATCATTGATAAGCTGCTCGAAGAAGATGAAATTCAATAATATTCTTGTTGTTGTTGTTGCCTGAAAGTTAAGAGTTCTAAGAAATGGTAAAGTTGATGTTACTCTTGGTTGTCTCTTGCTCATGAAGACACGGCTGTTGCTGTGGCATGAATTTAGAACCTTTTAGTTTAAAGGCCATTGCTTAAACCTCTCAGCCAAAGTGTTCATAAATACTTTCAGATTGGGAGAGAAACACGACAAGTGGTTTTTGGTATTGTGTCCAAAGTTCCGTTAGATCTCGCCCTGTAGCTGTGGAATTTTGTGTGTGGGGGGAGGGGGGATTAGCCCACCCGGGTACAGGCCACCAACCCACATCAGGGCCTGGTGGGCAAAAATATAATAATAATAACAATTATTTTTATTATTATGAACATAAACAATTAGTAAAATTAATAGCAAAATAAGAAAAGTAAAATAATACTTATAATAA